CCACTCTGGCCTTCCCATGACTTCTCTCCTCCTAAGGAACCGGGCCTGAAGATCGTAGTGATAATTGTTAACCTGATTAACCTTAATTCCTCGATAGAGCCACTGCGACCTGGCGCTTGTTTCAAAGAAGGATCGTATCATCCTATATGTTGGTTACCTATTCAGCCACGGTTCTTAGCATGTTTTGATAGGTCGAAAACGCCCTGGATTGTTTGTAGTAAGGAAGTTAACCGTGGGGTAGACTTCACTCCGTCGTCCCTCCTTTATATCAGTGGCCCTTTCGAGTTGATTCGATAGTGTCTAATGAGACGTAAGACCACAATGCAATTCACGCCACGTGCATCCTCTGGTGTCACGGAAAGGGGGGTGTCATGACTGCTTCGTTAAATAAACTGTATTTGTGTGTGGGGGGGGTATAGGATGAATTATTATGGGGAAGAATGACTGTCTGTCGCAACTCACTGACGATTCATCTTCATCCGGGTGAACTGGGAATATCATAGTTACTGTTGTGTAGTATGTTAGACGGTCAACTGAATGAAACCTACCACAGAAGTTCAGCTCGTTAACTTGAATAAACTTGAAAAGGGAATATCCAGTCAACACGACGGACTGGTTGTGAATGCTAAAAATATGGTTTTCACCTCCGACTATAAATGCAGCTCTTTGTTACAAACACAGTCACGTGCATGCCCATAGCAATCAGAGACTTCATAATTTGAGAGGAACTAATGGTTAGTTTGATTCGGTCTGGGCATAGCCAAGCTTGTGGAAACGTTCGAGTTTTGTACTTTTCGGCAAGGATACACTTAAATAGGCCTGTTTTAGCCAATGTTTATGTAAGATACCCAATTGTATTCAGTATTTGTGTTTGCACTCTTGCACCATCCAACTAAACGTGTCTATCAAAGGTCTTCCCACTGTCAAAAACAGTTGCAAGTCACCCTTTTAGATTACGCACCAGCTCTTGTTGGTACACAATTTTGTATAAAATCGTCGATCGCATGTATTTGGGATGCCAGCTGAGTCTTTTTTGTGGGAGTAGGCGAGATCGCCAGACGCGAAGTAGTGACTTTGGTTCATCCAGAATCCAACCAAAGCATGAGTGCTTAAAAAGCCACAATTTTACTTTGTACCCTGGATGGGCTTAAGCCAAAAATAAAGTTGCAAAATTAAATATGAACACGTACTATTTTCAGAGTCTGGCATAAGTCGTAGGGTGCCCCCTCACCACTTGCTAGTTTGTGAGCGGAGTCCAGAACGGTCATTAGGCCGCGTGCTCGGCCCGTGAAGAGGGGGTCGTAGGAAGAAGTCTCTGCTCTCGAACTCCCCGTCGATCGTGCTGAGGCAAGAGGGTGTCTGGAATGACATCTGACCTCCCTCGGTGTCGACATGAAGCCCAGAGCCAACAGTGCCGCTCTTGCGCCCTCAAAACCTGCAAGAGAGACCCGACTTCGGGTAGATACTGCGACACTGTAGCCTCGGAACATCTCCATCGCCTTCTCCTGCTCATCAG